ATGGATTTCCTCCCCTGGGGTGGGATGGGTGGGTAACAGGACCCCTGTTGATACCAGTGTTTGCTACTGTAACACTGAAGGGGCTATCCTGTATAAATATAGATGTCTACTCTACTCTATCTTCAAAGTTAATTGCACAAATCTGAATTGTGTTGAAGAAACATATGATACATTTAATATACGATTCATAGCCACTTCTTTTGCTGTATCACTTCAGCTACCTAATGATGTGCTCCTGACATCGCTGGCCTCACAGTTTAGTTGGTCGGGGCTTCACATAGGGAACATGAGGTGACAGGGTTAAATTCTGTGAAGCTCCTGAATTTTGTTTGAAGCTATTCACTTTCAAAATTTGCCTGATTCACTGAAAAGATAATTTCCTCATTCAATTTCTCTGCTGCTTTTCAAAATTATGATTCATCACTAATTATACACTTCAGAATAATTACAAGTACCTTATTCCTTCATTCCCAGTCTTTCTGTTATCCTCTGATCCTGCCAGGTCGATAAGATAAAACTTCCCAATGAGTTTTGTGACTTGAGCCACTTGGTTGTGTTTTTTAACCTGAAAAGAATCATGAAGAAGTAAAAGTTGCAAGTCATTGATATCATACTCATTTATTTCTTTATTTTCTTGATTCACATTCAATCATTAATTCCTACCAAATTAGTCAGCAGATACAAGACAATATGTTGGGGAATGACCTAAGTGTTCATAAATTAATGCACCTGTATCAACACAATAGAATGACTTCTGCTTGATTGTGGATTCAACTTTGTAGCTGCAGTTTTCCTTAAGAGAACATAAGCACAAACTTACTGAAAATAACAAAGGCAACCTTTGAAGGACATTCCCCAGTATGAGCAGTGTCCTGGGCCTCATGATGCTGGATAGGAAGATCATGTTAAGGAATATTATAGGGTCACCCACAGGGAATGGCAGGGTAACTGCTTCATACCTTTTGACCACTTAATACTGGATCCACAGAATAGGGGGGTTATTAAAATGACCATTTTATCCCATAATTGACTTCTTAATTCACAGAAACTTGCTTAAAAATACTACTAACTACAATTTACTGAAAGATTACTCTTAGTTTTATTTGAGTGGTTCCATTTGAAGTGACCATTGAGTACAGGTAGAAGAGAATACAAACAGGCTGTTGGGACTAGGTAAAGGGTGACCACAGCCGCTAAATATAGGGGAAACTAATGCCCAGGAAATAAATTTGCAACTTTGACAACCAACCACTCAGTACAGGTTCGACTGTATTAAAAATAACAGAAATACTAACCTTTGGTGGCTGGCTTTTACAAACAAGGACATAAACTCGCCCAGTGTTTCTATTTCCCTCTAGAATAAATTTATTTTAAATTGGTAAATGTAGTCATTTTTAAGTTAGTATGTACATGTACTAGATTATTTTGTAATTTTATCTATAATCTTTTGGCTTGTTAAAAATATCAGGATAAGGCCTGACAATGTGCCATAATTCAAAATTAATAAATACTATTTAAATTCCTCCAATCAGGTTTCCTACAAACACCTTAGTACAAACCACATAACAAATTTACTGTAACATTTTCTAAGCCCTGGACAAAGCCAAGAAATGTTGGAGCAGATGCAAGCCATGAAACCTATTTCGTTAAAATGTACCGTACATACGGGTAAATTGTAAGCAATCATAAAACACAGCACAAACTTGAAATTATACTAACTTGTCTTCGCAGAATCAAGTGTTTACCTTTGTTAAATTTGGGATGAGGATATTTTGTTGCTGGTCTTGTCTTATGGGTAAATCATCCTTCTTGAGATCTAACAAGTCTATAATCTAACATCAAGGAAATGAAATATCGCATGTATGGATGCTACTTGCACTCAAAACAAATGACAATTATTTTAATTTGAGGACTTGTAAGTGATTACAAGTGAAAAATCCTATCAGTTATAGTTAACATGCAGGCTACAGTACATAGAGGGCTTCAGAATGAGTGAGCAAGTTATTACCAAGGGGAACCAAAGGTGTAATCTTTTAATTGAGCTGCTGAACCAAATCAAATGCCATTCTTTAATCAGCAGAAATGAAATTAGGGGTTAAATTAGACTCGCATTAAACTTAAAGGGAGCAATCAAGTTGCCAAGCTTATTACCATCAAACCAAGTGAAGCAATTGAGATTGCATTAATGAACTGATTATTTGAATACTGAACCTGCTAGTGGTTTCAAGAATGAAATAGTGGATTGATTATTTGAAAAGATGGAGATCACTGTTCAAATCAGAATTCAACTTCTGATTTGAACAGTGATCTGCAGCATTTTAAGGCTAATATGGCTATCCAGTTCAATATTCAAATAATCAATCCATTATAATTGCATTCTTGAAGTGGCTAGCAGGTTCAATGATCAAACATTAAATTCATCATTGTAATCTTGAGGAGTACACTCCCCTTGGTTTGACTGTAAGTCTTATACACAAAATTGAATCTTTGAGATCTTTATACTTTTCACCAACCACAGCCAGAACTGATTTTTTCATTTTCCACAATTTCAGTCAGATTTTCTTCACCTCCTCAAGTACATGCATCATTAACAATTAAATCTCTATAATAATAAATTGTGCTCACTTTCTCTTGGTATATTTCAAGATATGAAAACAAAACTTTGTACTTCCACAGCAGAGTTGGATCCTGATGGTGTGTGTCTATCAGTTTAAACAGTTCAGCTGCACATCTTGGTATTAACCCTGTCAGAACAAGAGTAATTGTACTAATAGTTATGATGGAGGCGATAAGTACTGTGAACTCTAAATATAGAGACATTCAAGCAAATATCCAGTAGCTCTTTTTTAGCAGGGATTAAGTACACTGTGTCTGTTCCCCCTTCCCCCTCCTTCACAACACTGTGTCTGTTCCCTCCCTTCCCCCTCCTTCACAACACTGGGTCTGTTCCCCTTCTCCCTCCTTCACAACACTGTGTCTGTTCCCCCCTCCTTCACAACACTATGTCTGTTCCCCCCCTTCCCCGTCCTTCACATCCAATGTGGGATTTAACTTTGATAAGTTGGTATACACAAAGCATGAGCTTGTTTGACAAATAAATATATCTTATTAACCAAGCACGAGGGCCATACTGGGAGAATATCGGCCCAAGGTCTTGACAGTACAAACCGAGCGCAGCAAGGTCCGTACAAAAAAGACAGAGGGCCAATATTCTTCCAGTACCATCCCGAGCAAGCTTGGTTAATAAGAGATTTATTATACAACTGAAGTTCAAGGGGACACAAGTGCGGTATCATTGGGGACCATTTGGGACAGTGCCCGGTCCAATACTGAGAGAATATTGACCGGCAATAGAGCATTTTGATTGGTTGATTTTAGTTATTGGCCCTCTGACTGCCCGAGTCATGTAATAAACAAGTTTTACAAAAATTTATCTCAGCCAAACAGAATGCTTTCTACAGTACAGCTCTTGGTAAATATCTCTTGCTAAATAAGTCCAAGGTCTGTATCAAATTAGAAATTTGGACTGACTTTTTCCAATTGGATTTATGGCCAAAGCACAGGGGCCATATACCTAGCAGAAAAAAAAAAAAGAAAGACAAGGTTCTACAGGTTACAATACAGACCGGGAAAATAAGATTACTAAGATATTATGTTATATCTCTGGGTTCAAATAATAGGGAAAGATTTCAGTTCAAACAAACTTTTAAAATTAGTGGGCTGTACAGTGAAATATGGCTAGTTAAATTGACCAATAATAGCACACCCCCTACATGAACATAAGCAATATAATATTATAATTATAAATATAATATTATAATCATGAGCACAACACTAGTGAATTATAAACCTAATCTATAGCTTAGCTAATTATCTGAAATGGAACTGTGTGGGATTTAAATCCTTGCCAGAGACTAAGATTTTCCTCTTTGTTCCCCACCTAGGACAAATGTTGAAGAGTCCTTTGTTTACCACAGAGTAGTTGTAAATGGTTCTCAGTGACACTCACCTGGTTCTTCTGGTGAGCCAACCATGGTATGTGTTTTCCCTTCAGTTGTCAGGAAAGATGAAAAGCAAAGAAATATTATCCAGAAACATTATTCAAGCCAGTTTATACTGCTCATTGTGCATGTCTGTCAACTTACTAACTGCTTTTTTTGGTGAAAATGTACAACTGATTGCTACCATGTTCTCAAATTTTGTTGCCGTATTGATTATCTGGAAAAAAGACTTCATGTATTCCAATTCTTTTTGTATTGATACTAGAGATGAACAAATTAGACTCCCTTTGAGGTCATTCGATTTTGTCAATCACTACTATGATTTCAGCCAGTCCTTTTACCATTTACCATTACTAACATGGTGCCAACATCATATATGTGGTTTACTGTGAGGCCATTTGTCACTAATATTTACAATACAATATTCTAATATACTATTTACAACAAAATAACTATAACTAGCATATAATCTCAAAATAACAAGTTCTGTACCTCATGTATATGTACCTTTTCTTCGATATCAAATAAAAAAAAATATTCTAATGAACCACAGTAAATTCAACCCACGGTAATGAACCACAGTAAATTCAAACCACAGTAAAATCTCTAGTTCTAGTTCTAATTTGACATGCCAGTTTAGAAAGAGGCAAATGTATGTTTGATTGCTCGTCTGTCTGTACATAAAAGATTTCCATACCTGCTCCAGTGGGACCGTAAGCAAACACACTGGCATTTTGTCCTTGTAACACGAAGGGAATCAGTGAACGAACTGAGTTGTGGAAAATTGTTTCCTGTGTGCTGTCTTCGTCAAAAAACCTATTAAAACTAACACAGATGGCAGGCAATATTAAAGTATGGCGAGGAGCTCTGATTTATAATTAGTTTCAAGACACCGTGAAAAACAGCTGCAGAGTACTCTGAAAGATTTACGAACCGCTTCATTCATACTCTCCTCCTTTCAGGTCATGACTGTACAATGCACATATGTTTGTGGAGTTGATGACTTACTTGAATTGTTCGTATTACGACATAGCTAGATTTGTTAGTGTATTCGTGTTTTTAGTCCCAGCAGTAAAGCCAGATGAGCAGGTGATCCACATTTACTCCAAGATCCACTTTGATGAAGATCCCCAGTGGTCGATTGACACAGACATTATATATACATACATAATTGGGGTTCTCCGCATAATTTAACTCCCCAAACACTAACCGGTATCGAATTGACTCTTTAGAGTTTCTACAGTTCCAAATCTCTAGGGTAGAAGAATCAACTGCACGAACACAGCGCTGCGGAATTCCATTGCCATCGCTTTTCTCTTTGTAGTCCAAATGTTCGGGTCGCAATCGCACAAGCACTTGGACTTTACATGCCTTTTTTAACCCAGCCATATTGGCCATAAACTCAGATCAGCTTATATTCTTCACTGGCAGCTGTGTTGATTCAAACTAAGTGAACTCAAAGAAAATAACAAGTTCTGGCCGCTTGTCTCAATTTCAAAGTTGCGAGCGAAATGCTAATATTTCTGCATCGTCCAATCACGAACTCCCTTTAGTCCTCCCGGTCATTAGTCCCAGAGTCCAAAGATCTAATAATTCATATACATTCATATACAAAATCATTTTAAAGAGAATTTCCTGTACGCATAAAATAGTGTAAAACGAAATTTCTATCACTCAAAAACCCCATTAGATTTTGTATTATTTTTATCATTATTATAATTATCATTTTTTTCTTTTCTTCTTTCATTCCTCATTCAACCTATCGCCACCATTTTGAATTAACTAATCGACTTGATTTTGTATTATTATTATTATCCCTTATCATGCTGACTTCGAGTTCATGTTACAATTCCCTAAACTGACTTTATTTTTAGTAACACACTTATACATGACAGTTGATGCTTTCATCAGCAGTGAAAGCTTTACATTTCATCAAATCCCAACAACCTATATATAAAAGTAAAGCTTAAGAAATTTCCTTTCTGATTATTCTATTACAATAAACTTTTAACCTATGTTGCTTTTAAAATTTTAGCTATGAAATCATACTTTTGGAAAAACTTGACAAAAATTATACATTAACAAAAAACAATTCATATTAATTTCTTCCAAAAATTATCTGTACAAGCCTAAAATGGCAATCAGAGTTAAGCCCTAGTCCACATGAGCTTAATAAAACAATTCCTGTGACTGTGACAGCATTTTTTTTCTCAATACAGTAGCAAGACCACATACTTGTCAAGTCAACACGTAAACAAAATTAGGAATTTATGTACATTGTTTGGTTTTTAATTCAAAACAGTCAGCTCAGTTGTATGGGTCTATGTTGTAAATTTATCTATTTTTGTGCTTGAATTGACTTCAAAACCTAACAAAACCAAACAAAAGATGAATAATGGTTATGATCAGTTAGTTTAAGCATCGTCATTGTCATTACTGGCATCGTGTCTTTGAATGTAGGCAGCAACATAGTCCTGAACAGTGTGGAACAACTGGAAGCAGTTCTGTATACAGAGGGATACTTTACAGACACTGCACTGAAAGCTAGACTCTTTTCCTGGCCTCTTCCTTTTCTCTCCTGTCCTTTTTAGGATCTTCTTCTGGGCAGGAAAGCAAACCACACATGCCCGGGTGATGTTGGACTTCTTCCCAGTGCCCAATATTTTCTCTGGGAAGTGACCTCCAACTTGAAGATGGGTTAAGCCTTCGGCTGACCTCCTTGGGCGGCCTCTCGGAGTGAGAGAATGGGAGATGCCAGAATTCCTAACAAGCTCCTTCACAAGCTCCCTTCGAAAGGTCCTTTGCAGCACAGGTGACCGGGTTCTTTGCTTGTACAGGATGTAAGCATTCAGGCTGCTTAAGGAAAACAGGTGGAAGAACACTTTCTTCCACCATTTCATGGTGCGTCGCCTGAAGCAAGAATAGGCCACCATCTGATCACACCTGTCAACTGCCCCTATGAACTTGTTGTAGTCATGGTTAATCTCAGGTTTAGTTATTGGGCGGCCAGTTCCAGGGTGATTTTGGCCAACTTCTACATCTGCAACAGAATGAACTGATGACAGCATCTGGAAAACTCTGCGGTCCTTAAATTTAACTGCCAGCAAAAGTTCCATTGTTCATAACAAACGTGTCACCTTTTTCTTTCACTTGTGCCCTTTTAAATTGCTGAGGGATATCTTTCCTGTAGCAAACTGTTCCACAGGCCCCAGTGTTCTGCCTATAGAGCTCAGCAAATAAAGTAGGTGATGTGCAGTAGTTGTCAACATACAAACACCTACCCACATTCAAATAAGGTTGCAGGAGCCTCATGACTAAGTCATATGTCTTGCCTTTAGCACTGGGTTGTTCTGGGTTTACACCAGTATAAATTTCAAACCTACAACAATACCCATTACTTGAGTCACACAACTAGTATGACTTAATTAACAACATACTTATCTGGCTTGTCAGAGTTGTAAACTTTGCAGTGCACCTTTCCTCTGAATGGAATCATTCCCTCATCAATGCAAATATTTTTGCCTGGCTTCTAGACATCTGAAAATTTCCCAGTAACAACGCTGTATATAGTACCAAGCTTTTTTATTGGGTCATACCCTTCCTGTCCTCGTGGAACATGATCATCATTATCACACAAGTGAAAAAAATAATGTTAAAATGTTCATAAATTTGTCTCTTGACATAATTTGAGGGAAAAAGGGAGTAGATAAAACCTTGTCGGTGGACCAGTAATCCTGGATATTCTCTTGATTCACCAGCCCCATTGCAATGATCATGGCAAGAAAAGCTTTCATCTCACCAGCTGTCACACCATCCTCAGGCCAATTTCTAAACCTCGAGTGCTGAGGTAAACGACCTCTTCGCTGTAAAGATGCGATTGTTTCCGGCGTAGCATATTTATTTGTTTGCGATGCAATCTCATCGAATAGGTTTTCGGGGAGGAGGATATGAAAGTAGTCAGAGAATGATGGATTGTTAGGAAACTCCACATTCAACCCTCGATCAGCTGTGAAGTCAAGCCTTCGCGGGATGCGATCGCCAAGGACCCAGTTGTCTTCTTCGGTTTCTTCTTCGCTGTCTTCTTCTCTTCTGTCATATTCTTCTTCGCTGCTTTCAGAATTATTCGTATTTTCATCTAAATCGCTATCCTCTCCGCCGACAACTTCATCAATAGTTCCTTCATCAACAAATACAATATTGGCCGCCATCTTTGTTTATCAATGTTACCGCGCAACAAAATATATTTCATGCGAATTAGCTCTTTTATTCTACTTGGGTCTACGGAACTCTGTCGGATGCTTAATTTATGTCCCTTGGGTTGGCCCATGACTATTTAACAATTATTCCACGAGCGCGCGTTGGATATGAGATGATAGATAGCCAACGAAGCGCTACGCGCCTCGTTGGCTACAGTCATCTCATATACAACAAGCGCGAGTGGAATAATTGTTTTATTAAAAAAAGTTGAATTAAATTATTGCATTTTATTAAATTTTTAGCTCCCTTTTGATTTTGAGCTGACACGTACGCTTGCCATATTTGTAGATTATGGTATATTGGCTGATATACCATAATGGCTAAGCCAATAAAAAGTCTTGAATTGCATTATCCAATGATCCAGTTTTTAATAAAAACCCAATATAAGCCCGACATATTCCGAACTTCTTCGCCAATAAAACGATGATGTTCGGAAACCCGGAATATTACGGGACCCGTCCACATGGACGCACACATGCGCCCAGAATATTCCGGGAGCCGCATTTTTGTCTTTCTTTCTTTCGTTTTTCATTCAATCTATCGCTACCATTTTGAATCGATTAACCCACTGAAATTTTCCCAATACATTCTCTCGCTTAAAGGGAAAATGAACTCTGGGAAACTGATCCTCATAGTATCCCCTTAACTACTTTCGTCTTCCGACGTTCATTATTATTTCTACTCCTCTGATTCGCCAAAGACTGCAGAAACAATTTCTAGGACTATGATTGCTCCTATTTTTACCCATCTGCCTGCTGTGGTACACTTGCTTGGTCTCAGTTTTTCTGGATCTCCAGAGAAAGTGTTGGAAGAGCCTGCGCTGGTACAACCTCAGAAGAAAAAGCTCTCTGAAAAATCTTCAGAACGTGACAAGTGGGGGTTCTTCTTAGAAGAAAATCCTTCATCAATCAGCCCATTTATCAATCAGCCCATTTATCAATCAGCCCATTTATCAATCAGCCCTCAACCCAAGGTTCAAAAGTTGAAGATCAAGATACAAAAACCCAGGGCCCCCAGAAAGCCTAGGACAAAGCAACAACAACCACAACAAAAGCAACCAGAAGTACCCCAGCAAGTAGCATGCAATGGTGATTATGGTAGGTTATTTCAAGACTATGAAATCGCTCAACATCGATGCAAGTTCTACAACAGCAAAACTAAGTTCAACATCATGGAAAAAGCTAGTTTAACTTACTTACTTGAATTAAAATAAGCAATCACCTGTGTTTGACCCGAGAGGTTTTTTTTTTCCAAGAGAGAAATTAGACAATTGTAACTCAAAGATTAACTTTTGCAAGCAAGGGATCCTCGCAGTAATGAAGGCCACTGAAGTAGTAGTGAAAATAAAGCCTGAAAAAACTCAGGCCTGAACGGGATTTGAACCTATAGCCTCTGCGGTACCGGTGCAGTGCTCTGCCAACTGAGCTGACAAGCAAACTGGGAGCTGGTCTTTATGTTGATTCGTATTAAACCCGTGAAGTGATGAATCAGACTGAGAATATATGAAAATCATATATGTGCAGTTTTAAGAAATGTATGAAAGCGATCCTCGCTTAACTTTCGTCTAGCTTCTCTAAGGCCTGAAGACTATAAGTGTTAGAAGATTTTCCAACACTCTCTTGTATTGTTGATTCTTCTTTATTCCCTTTTCTTAATTATTTGGATTTTATCAACTGACTTGATAAGTGCACTGGCCACCGTAAAGAGTTTTAAAGCTGACGTTTCGAGCGTCGAGCCATTCGTCAGAGTGAATTGTGTGTACGTTTATATGCAGAAAGTGGAGCTACGCTATTGGTTAGAACATGCTGACGAGAAAAACAAGAATAAATTTGAAGAATGAAAAGCGTTCGTTGATACCACTGGGATTAAAGAGTGCCAATTGGAAAGATGAACTTCTGTTCAAGAGTTTTGCGGCTTTCGGAACTGCCTAGGGAAAGGCCACAGACCGCCATATGATGCTTGGAATGATTAGGCAGATTAAAGTGTTTTGCGACTGGTTTGGATGCGTTCTTGCCATTCCTTTTACGTCGCGAAGGTGTTCTCGGGATCGGTCACCGAGCCGTCTTCCTGTTTCACCAATGTATATCTTTTTGAAGTAAGTGCGAGTTATGCAACAGATAACATTGGTAGAGGTGCACGTGAAGTGATCAGTAATCTTAATAGATCGTGTGGGTCCGAAAATTTTCTCAACGTTATGAAGGAAAGGAAAAGTTTTGCATCGTGCGCGAGCGCTTTTAAAATTCCGGGTTGGTCCTTAGTTTGTAGGGAACTTCTGACCAAAAAGTTGCCAATGTTTTTGTCGCGTTTAATGAGATAAATGGAGGTGGCGAAAAGATAGTGCCAGTCTCTGAATCGTTTTAAAGTAATTTAAAGTTTTTTAGAATGATTGATGCAACTGCTTGGTTGTGAGGATGAAATGTAAGAGTGAATAGAATGCGTTAGAATTTTCCTTATGTGACGTTTGTAGTGCTGCCTGTCGATCAATTAGTTGGGCGCGGTGGTGGCCCGCTTGAACGACAGAAACAGGATAGCCACGTTTTCCGAAAAACTGCCACATTGCCACTCGAGGAAAGTGAGGTCGAACTGTGAAAAAAATATGCCAGTAAAGATCCAAATGCGCAGCACCCAGAATTTCCTGAAGATAGTGGTAAACACTGAAAACTTAGCACACGTTTCAAACATTGCGAAAGTGCAAGGTTTCGGTGTAAAAATATTGGCAGCGAAATGAAGAATCGTCAATCAAAACGTCACTTGGTGTTATTGAGAGAAGAAATGCACGCCAATAGGCTTTCCGATAAAAAGGTTCGTTTCTTTCTTTTTTGACTTTTTTATAGAGCGTGATGAAAAAAAACAAACTTCAGTTAACATTCAGGTTGTGCAAAAGAGCTATTCACATGTGTTTGACAAAGGCCTTCTTAAGGTCGAACTAGAATGTGGAACCTTTCAGCGTATATGATCACTTTTTTTCATTTTTTTGTATACTATTTGTATACTATTAATTGTCCAAAAAGAGACACTTTAAAATCATAATTCAAAGATTAGCTTTTGTTTGTAATGCTTGCATGGAGCTTAAAATACAAACATCGTAGGTGAGCTCGTCAAAAATCGATTTATTTTTCATTTTTTTTTTCTTACTTAACATTTGTGTACCAAAGATAAAGTTGAAGTTTAAGAAAGTTAACTTGATGTTTGTCTAATTTTGATGAGTTAAGAAACACGGCAACCACAGGATGATGAGAACAATTAGTTTGTTTGTTTATATACATACTGAAATTTACTCACTGAAAAGGCGCGAGGTATTTTTTCATTCGCAAGCTGGTCGAAGAAGCTGTGGGCCAGTCATTTGGCGTGTATCGCTTTTTTAACGTGTGAAGAAAACGGTACGTCCAATTAGGAGCACGTTTCGTGTTTTTTCACGCGTGAAGCGTATCAAGGCGATTATAACTCAACTTTCACTAGCACTGTTTTGCTTTTCAAACAATTCGGAAAATTGATAAAATCCGCTCTCAGGATTGTTTATCCAGTCAAATTATTCACAAAAGATGATTTAGGAACTTCTGTGGAGGATTATGTGGAATGAAAAGCATGTAGAACAAAAACACAAAAGAGAAAGCAATGAAAAACAAGTTGACGAGATTTGAAACTGTTCAAAGAATTTTAGCAACGAAAACACGAAGAAAGCAAACATGTATCTTGAAGAGTTCACTCGCTCCCTTCGACGAAAAGACAGAGAAGACTCAAGACCTCAAGCTTATGATACTTTGTTTCAAGTACTAAGAACTGTTTTGTAATTTTTCACACATTGTTGGTA